GTTTATGAGTCGATATTGACTTCATTAAGAAATGAAACTTATCTAGATCACATGAAGAATTAGAATACACATTATACTCCTGTTCACACATCTGTTGACTGTCATTCTATGCATACTACAAGCCTGTCTAAATTTGGCATCACACTTTAAATATGAATAACATCGTTGTGTTTATGGCAGTTGGAGAATGCTGAAAACATTTGAGATGTTTGTATTTTATTGTCAGCTCATATTAGCTAATTCCTTAATAATCCCTGAGTGTTGCCATAATAATATGCATTCTGATTAGCATTTTAATCTCTTTTTCACCATTATGCTCTAAAATGTAGATATATTTTGTTAGCTAATAGAGTAGAACTTTAACTTTATGACTACACTCTAAGTGCTTGCAAAAACGAGGTTTAAGTGAACTAAACGTTCATATACTTTTCCCCTTTGTTAATTAATGGTGGAAAGGACACAAAGATCCATTTGCTTACTCTTTCCTAGTAAGTTAATAGTTTCTTACCTAACACTTCATCATAAGAAATGTGAGCCGAATAAGATATGGTGGTGTTCATATATTTAGTCGTGCGATCATACAGTCTTTCATGATTGTTAGATATAATGGAGAAGATTTGCAACCAGGTGGATGATTTTAGCGTAGCTGTGTTCTCAAAGGTGGATAGTTTAGTCGCAAAGCTTTCGTAGTCTTACTAGAAAAAATCCTCAGAGCTCACTTCAGTTTAAAGTAAGCTTATGAAATTCTCCAAGAGTGAATCAGTCATCCCTCCTGGTAACCTTCTAGTCTATTTGTATCGATAAGGACTGTTTACTTCACCTGAAAGCTGACCTTTAGTTCAGATGATTTCTTATTTATGGGTTCGTGAAGCTTAATCAACATCAATGTGTCTGTTGATTTCGGATTCACCTGAGTGCCAGAATATGCCAGAATGTATATTTATAAGTCAAAATTACAGACAAGAGGTACGAATAAAAAAGGTGAAACTATTACGTAAAATAAACCTTGGTTTTAAAATTGGGTTGCCGAGGTAACATCGAAGTAATAATAAATAATTCTTAAACATACGAAACAGGGTATAGCCTTTCTGTGGCCACATCTGGAATGAATTCAAGTAAGTAATCCCAACCTGTTTCATGTATGGGTTTAAAGACACTGTTAAAATCAATCTTATGACTCATCTATGTGGTGTTCTCTGAGTTACATGATATTCAGGATCTACTTCCAAAGTTAATTGGCTTAGATGATCTTCTTTCTTCTTGCAGCTGCTTAGAGGTGTATTCTGTAGCGCTAACTTGCATAGATGCCCCATGTACGTGGAATGTAGCCTTATTGCTCCAATGTTGTGAAGGCAATGAGTATATCTACGAACAGCAAATAAGCATTACTATCTTTAATGAACGGAATATTCGCATACTGTGACGTAAGTAAAAGACATAAACACTGAGTAAAATCTTTTCGACGACTGATTTTCATAACATATACCATCACTATTATAATTAACAAAGAATTCATAAGACCAATCAGATACTGGTAAAATTTACCTTAGAAAATTTATTTAAATTATGTAAGATACAATCTAGGAGAGTATGACTAAATGAAAATAAGAAAAAGGGGGCAGAAGTTGGGATGACGCAATAATTGTGAGAAAATGACTAGTCAGTATAATTGTGTAGACTGGACAAAAACTAGTGAAAGGTGTTTTATAAAAACTATATAGAATTGAAATGTTAACAGTAAGCAATAAAGTGACAGTAAAATAAGGACGAATCGGATAATAATAAACTTACATAATGAAATGAAGCAAAGATATAGCAAGTGCGTTAATCTGGCTACAGTAGGGTGAGTGAATGTATGTAGTGCTTTTGAATGCAGAGGTTTTGTTTCAGATACCCAATAGCCAATGATTCACCTATGTGTAGATTGTGTATTCAAAGTCTTTTCATGAGATATTGAGGAGATATGTGTAGCTTTTTGAAGCATTCATGCAAGGGTGCCCGATGTCCAGAGTTGAAAAAGTGTTAGAGAATAGGACTTCTGGTATTCTCCTTTTTCTCCTGGCTAGCCAGGCTGAACAGTGTTCTAGAATACGTTCGTGAACTTGGTGATGCGCACGGCTGACCCCTAACGGTAGACTGAATTAACTATCTGCTGGAGAATATGATGCGTAAGGTGGCTGCTAGAAACGTTTCCTTCACCTTCAGAAAGGTGGTTTAAGTGAATTTTGGTTTCATTGTCATCGTTGAATTTTAATTTCCACTAACGATTTGGCAAGGTTATTAGCTGTCAAACTTTAGCGAGGGGCATGCGTAGAGGAATGCTGACTTTTCAATAGGCCATGAATTTGTGGTAATTGGTAATGCAATATATTCTCTGTCATTAATCCCACTAACATTGGAGAGTTTCATTAGATTATTGGTCTTCTGATGGGGAGCCTCTCATATTAATTTATTCTCATTTGCGAGAATGGATGGCATTTGACATTTGTATTCACTTTTTTCCATTATGACCATAAATAAATCTTTATCTAATCTAAGAATAACGATATTAGTATTATGCTTTAGCCACTCTACGGCTTTAAAATGTTCAAATGTTAAGTTACTTCTCCATATTAAACTAAAATTATATAATTGACGACCAGTACAACTGATGTTGTGCGGTTAAACTGTTATAAAGTTTAAGTCATTTCAACACCAATCATAAAAAATACCATAAATCCTGGACTATTATAGTTCTTCGCAGAATAACTAGGTGATCGATCTGCATCAGAGTTTATCAGTGTATAATAATAAGAGAACTAAGCTTCAAATCATCAAAGTTTTCATTGACCAAAGCAGTACTGACAACGGAATATGGAACTAGAATACCTACTCAGCATCTTTTAAAAAGTAGAGGAAACCTTGATTAAAATTGTTTGTAAAGTGGTTTTGAAATTAATAAATAAAACACTAAGACTTCTCAAAACTCCAAACTCCTTCTTTAAGCCAAAATTTTACATTGGTCATGAAATTCGACAGAATGCACGTCGTCCTTTAATAATCAAGATGTAAATACAACAGCAGTATAAAAAATTGAAATTTCCTTATGCCTATGTAAAACGTTTTATCCCGTCGCATATACAAGAGTTAAATGATGCGGAAGAAGTCTACATAAATTCTATCTTATGGAAGTCAAATGCAGGCTGTACATTCTAGGTCGTAATATGGATCGACATAAGATAGATAAGACATTAGAACTTTTGATTTAGTGTTGAGAGTGTTCAATACGGAAGTAAGAAATGCAGATTTAGAGAAATACCTATTACTTATCATTGCACTAAAGCTGGCATTACATTCACAATTATACTTTACTATTACATTTTGGTAAGTTCCTAATCAACGAAGAGGAAAAGGAGACAAGTTTAGTTTTTGTTCTTTTAATACCATGCATTTTCTGGTGTAAACATGTCTGGTGTTATTCAACTGATTCCAGTAAGCCAGTCTATTTTACAGATAAATCTTTACTACTTGGAATTTTATGAAAAGGTTATTAACTCTCACACAACTAATACATGCGGAATAGGATTGATAAACTTAACTTCTAATAATGGCTGAATGTCTGCTCTGATGTATTCCCAAGAATTGTGAATTTACAATAAGGAGTGCAATGCGCTATGTGATAAACAACATTATCACTTAGTTTTCGCAATAAAATCTCAAGAACCTATCTCCAAACTAATCACTGACTGACACAAGAAAAATATGGTTGTATGATAATGATGATGATTGTCTCACAGTGATCCTCACATAACTAAACAAACAGAAATCAACCAACTCCCTGTCTGATTAATTGAGTGACTAACTAACTGACGAGGACTATGCATTGGTGTACATCAGTCTAAGTTGTTTCACTCTGAATGAATAAATGTGAATGAAGATGAATACATTAAAATATGTTGTAGTGCTACTCGATGGAAATATGGACCCCACAACGATACTAGATGTCTTAGTTATTTCAGTCGGAAAACATTCGTCTGCGTTCTTTAAAGGAGTCGTAACCCACAATGACAGCAAGTAAAATTATGAGATATTGCAGTCAAACACCCTCAAATATATCACTTCTCCTTTCTTCCCTGATGGACAAGCAAGCTCTTCAATAGCCTCAAGGTTTAATGTCAGTGAGTGTAAAAGCTTGTATTAAAATTCAAATTTACCCAAATAAAATGATTCTTTGATGAAAGGTCATGACCCATGCTGACTGAAGCCTTAATTTACACTGACAAATGCATCAATAGAGAAAGTAAGTATAACAAGCTTTGAAAGCTTCCTGAAAGTATAATCGTGTGAGCATTTTGGACACTAAGCTACCAACTGTAAGAATAGAAACAAAATGCCTTGACAAAATATCTCAGCATTATTCCCTACAATTCATTTATCTGTTCGACTGATTCTTCTGACATTTCTTTGAGATTATAGGGCAGCATATGTCAGTTATAAATATGCGATCCGGGAATCCAAATGAACAGCTATATTTTCATCGCATTTCTTCCAGAGTGACTGTGGCTTTCATGGTGAACTTTTCGTAATATCTTCTTTTGATTTTTCAAATTATATGATTTTATAGTAAAAAAAACATATTGGAATACTCTCTTTAGTTTGCTTACGGCAGATGATTAATTTTGGTGTGAATGATGATAGACACTTTTGAAATGCAAGCATTCAAACCTTCAAATGATACTATTCACAAATTAGCTGGAGAGTAAAACTGACTAGGCAATTTCAGTGTGAATAAACCGAAGGTTCGTTGTTTACAGACTAGTTAAACGTAGCTAGTAACGTCGATGACTGTTTATTGACTGGTTAGTTTCTCACTTGTTTGAAATTCACTACTCTAAAAATAATAGTCAAAGAAACTGCACCAACTGTTTCTATAAAATAGGCATATATAATCTGTTGTGTAACAAAGCATAATTAACAAGTAGGTTGAAAAAAATAAGTATTTTGTAATTACTTCAGTAATAATAATGACGATGATATTGTCAGTAATAATGATGATAATAATTGTGATAATAATAACAGAATGATATATAGAAAACTATGCGAGCTTTCGGAGTATATATATATACTGGTATAAAATAACGTGCTGACAAGCAAACTTTGTAGGTTGAAGAATTTATAAATTAATTCTGAATATGAGCAGAATGTTTTCCATCCTTGTTCGGTTGTTCAAAAGGTTAACTCATAAACCACTGAAAGTAATGTAGATAATATATTCACTCAGAAATAAGGGGGAAAAATAAATTATCGCTAAGTTTCAGCATTAGGGCATTTATCTCCTCTTTTAATCCCCTTCTTATTCAACAATTTCCCAACATCTTTAAGTATTTCGGTTTGCTAAACTGAAGGATCAGTGTCAAAAGAAGAGAATTTCATTTCTTTTTTGTATCAAAATTAGTAACCAAACTAATTGACTAATTAATTTAAAATAAAAACTGGAACAGTTTTTTTGTTCTCATGCAACAATCGTATGTCGTCTTGTTTATTTCTTCGGTCATTTTTCCCTATGCATTGTTCCCTACAGTTCACTGTGAACTGACCCAAGGAAATTCCTCATCTCTGCAATCATATAGCCAGTTATACATTTATAAGGATGTTCAGTATTTTTTGGCATCTATCCCAGGTAACTCGATCGTTTATTCAAATACTTCTCTGGTGAATTCATCCATATTGATGCGAATTTCTGCAAGCCTTTTATTGGTTTCTGTGACTTAAAAAAATTGCACATCTCATTTACCGGTTCAGTTTGTTTACACATTGTTCGTTGAATAGAATTTAATGAACCTAGAGGCTTGGAGAACCGTGACTTATTGAATATTGGAGGGTTAATATTGGATTCACGCAATGATTTTGAATTTTGTAGCTCATGTTGATGAAGTTTGGCTTCAAATTTATTTTGTAGTGTTTTAAAGGGTGATAAATTACTTAATGAAATATTAGTTGATGGTTGTTTTATGCTATAAAGTGCATTATTCTGAAGTGTATTTGATAGTGTTCTACGCTGATTTAAACAAACTTTATTCAGATACCAGTTATCATTCATTCTGCGGTCGAAAGTACTTGACTTTGATGGTATAACTGAGTGTGAATCACGTCGATTATGTGGAATTTTCTTGATCTTTTTACTACAACTTGGTAAGATGTCCACATCTCTGTGGTCTGCTTTATCACTGCGTGAATTTTCTGGTGTTATCAGTTTCATTTCGTTTCTATGAAATACATCATTACCGTGTTGTGAATGATTTCTATAATCTTTAGTACACTTAACAGATGACATATTTAAAGGTTGTGGTTGACACTGATGATGAAGAAAACATGATAACGGTAATGTGCATAACTATCAATTTTAGGCTGAATCGGTATACAAACATTTCGTATGGACTTATAATCTGAGTTTTTATAGCAATAATGATTCATTTTATCATGATTACCTTTTGCACCCATACCATCAGATGACCCTTTTCCGTGTTTTTGTGGCTCCTTTTTAGATGGACTCGTTTCACTTTTTGCATTGCTTGAAGCATCATGAACCCAAGTAGAGGCTTGGTTATCTGGTAAACTGCATATATGTTCAGGGATTTCTATCATATCCTTTGGGAGAGCACTGTAATATTGTTTGTTTTTTAATAACCACTCACTAACTTTCTGTTCAGATAATGTTTTAAGGGTCCGATTATCATGAAATAAAGTCTTTAGACGGTCTGTATGACCATGATCTCTAGCATTTGTATTTGTTGCTTCATTATAATTTACATGTTTCTGAGACTGACGTGCATTCATTTCATCTCTCTGTGTATGTGTATTAGAGACTACTGATTTACGACCTGCAGATGATAAGTGTGATCCCATTTCACAATATGACTTTACTGCCAGCATTGGAACTAATAAACTTCATTAATATAGGCTGTTAATATACATTTTATTCAAGAATCCATCACGCCACAGTTTAGCTCATTTTATCTGTCGACTAAATACACATCTGTCATAACAATCAATTTTAAATCGATTTATCAGCTCGGTTTAAATTATGATATGACAAAAAATGTATTTTTATCAAGAAAGTTATTTTACGACTGCTTAGTCCATTTTTCGTTGCACTGAATACTTCTAATCATGTTAGAAAAAAGCTATGATTAGGGCAGAATTTATTCATTCCTTAATATTTTTGGCAACTTAAAAAATTTTCTTATTAATTATATAAAAACAGACTGTTGGATTTACATATGGAATTTTCATGGTTTTATGGAGGTAATTTAAAACAGAAAATACATTCCATCGAAACGTAATAGCATATAAGTGCGAAATGAATCATTCTACCATTCACATATATTTCATATGTATCATACCAGATACTCGTTAAGTGTATTTCTCAGTTCCAGACAAAGTGAACAATATTCGTCACAACAGAACCACTCCAAAATTTGGAGAAAATATTAAAAATCTCAGCACTGCGTGTTCACAGGGTTTTTCTTAAAATACTAAAAAGTCGTATGTAAAAACGAGCAATTACCGGCACTTTCATGGCACTATTTTCAGTAGAGATACTTCTAATCATTATTTACACGGTAGTCTGTTTTTAAGTGTATTTATCAGCAGATTTTCAAATAAAACCTAAAATTTATTTTTCCGAATACAAATTAAATTCATAAAATACCTTTAGCTTTAAAAGATACATACTTATCTGGTAAGTTAAGTTTTAAAGTTCATACATCTGCTTTCCAATTTTCTGAAATCACTTTTATGAGCGCCTGATAACATAATAATGTGTATTTATTACTTCTTATCCCAAGGTTCTTGGGCATCACGACTCTCACTCAGCAGCGTTTTGTCATTCGAAAATAAAACGATATGCTTTAACCACTCATACATGAAGTGTGCAGTATCATGTACTATCTAGAAAGATTTCATTCATTTGAAGATATCAAGCAGACAGTCACTTAACAACTACAGATCTAATATGTTGCATGACGCTTTTGTTGTTTGATATCTCATTATAATTATAATTACAAATATTATGTAGCATTTCACATTTTTATTATAATTATTCACGCCTATTGTATAAATTTTCAAACAAGATATGATTTCTTAAAAATATTATATATTTATGATTGTACATTTTTCCATTTATTTTATTCCTTCACGTTTCTAGCTTTGAAGTTTCCATATCAGTGGTTTTAGTTTTACGAGTTTTACTACTGGCTTAACGAGGCCTAGGAGTGAGTCGGCAGATGATCGAACCTCAGACTATGTGCTCGGCTGACAAGCGTTCTACCACTGAGCCACTAACGCACACCATAATTGTACAGCTTAACGGTAAACTCGCTGAAAAAGTCCCTTCGCAGAATATGATTAATAGTTCACTTGCTATATCACATTAAAATGAGGTGTCCAACATCTGCATGCCACTTGTTAGAAATTATCAGTATCATAGCAAAAACAAAACTGTAAGGTCATCTGTAAGGTCCGAATAATACTCCAAGTTAAACTTTTATAAGCATTTATGTGCCATTAGACCAGTGGGATACAGCAGGTTGGGTGTGAGGTGAAATATTTGCCACCGATGACACTAGTTGGTGGTCTTTTTTCATCGTGAATTGGTGGAAGCTGGAATTCATGGAAAACTGGATTAGGTCTCAGTGGTTTAATGGTCTACGAGGTGGCTCACCTAGCAACCAGAAAGTCCTGAGTTCGAAACCCGTTGGGTGCGTACTATGAGGGCTCCCACACTGGGACGAAAAAGCTGTCCAGTAGTCCCAGGTTTTCCAATGGTTTCCTAACCGATGTTAGCTCATGATGAAATCCTGTAACCAATCATTCAAATCCCTGCAAACCTATGGAGTCTGAAACAGTTTGATTGTGCAACTTTTGTTAGATGTTACAGATGGAAACATTGTACATAACCTTTGTTTAAGACTATTCATTGCAAAATACACCTAACTTTGGAGTACGAGCTAAAATAGAGTGTGCTGCTTGACGTTCTGTCTTCTCGCTGGTTCATACTATCTGCCTGCTTCACTAATAACATTGCTGTATCATTTGGATTTTGCAGGAATCCCTCATCCGAAGAATATTCTACAACTGGTGCACAGCTTCTACCAGTGCAACAACAGAAGACAAGACACGGGAGCCAAGGTATATTTTCCATAAATCAAACCGCTTTTTATATATCTACAGTTTATATTCATTAACTAATCACTGAGGGTGTGATTTTGGCCTACATCTATCGACATGAAATAGAATGTTCAAATATGCATAGTATTCTGTTGCCAAAATAGTATTGAACTTTGGGAAAGTATTCTATCCCTAACATCAAATAGAATGTTCAAATAGATATATCGTATTCTGTTGTTAATGTCGAGTTGAACTGCAGAAACATGTGAGAATTGTATTCCGCTGGCGCACATTGTCTGTATCACACCACCACACTAGGAGACATGACTTCTGCAGTGAACACTTCTGTGGATTATATTAATAATTTGTAGCAGTGGTCTTTACGTGTATCACCAAGTAACCATTAATTTATATAACTCGTTAACTGTATTTTTATAATATACGGTTACAAAATCATTTCCTTAACTTGGATTTGAATTCTAATATTTGTTCCGTAACAGAGGTTTCCATTAAGTCTCCAACTAACCAACACTCGAATACTATGCAAGTCTTTTTTTAAGCATAGAAACATGCACGATATGTAAAACTTTGCCTGGGTAAGTGTGTGAACTCGTGATTATCCTGAATTATGCCAACTTAGTAACACAATTTGCATTACACATGTGGTGTTACCCATTCCAGCCAGAAGGTTAAACTTTTGCATAGCCATTTGTTTACACACCTTTTAACCCTTCTTAGTTAAGTAGGTTATCTATAGCTCTAAGGGTATGGAGTGTAGCTGACAAATTCATTACTAAAGAAATCGAAAATAAAAATCCCATCATTTCTAGTTTAATTTAAGAATAATCCTTCAGCTTGGCTAAAGACTCATTTTTACTTTCAGATCCAATATACTTTCAAAGAGGCTACTGTTTTTAAAAGTTACAGAATCAAATGAATTACTATTCTGAGAGGACACAGGGCACTGTGGTAGTCGAAACAGAATGAAAACTTTCAATAAAATTAGTAGAGGTTTCCCTTCACTTGCAAGCATTGTATGGAATTCTTTTTCTTTCAAATTAGTAAATCAGGAATGACCTCAACAATTAATTATGAAATAAATACTACAGTTGATGGATAGGAAGGGAATGACCCATAAAAGTACATTTTCAAATCCACTAACTAATGACCAACAAGGTTCACATAGTGATGCCTTTGAAACAGTTGCATTGAATACTTTACAGAGAAGTAAATACCTATTTTGAGAAACTGTATGGCTGTGACTCATCATTTTTGCTGTCTTACTGGGGAATACAGCCACCTGTCGGTGAATAAACAAGATGCTGCCATTTCGACAAAATATGAAGTTTTTTCTAAATCACATGATCGGCTAATGCTCCAACAATCTTAGGCTTTACACTTTCACATGATGCAAATATTTATAGTGTCATCAATATTCTGAATCTTTATTTGATTCAACGCATATGGTCAGACAAATGAGTACTTGTTTATGTGAGCATACGTACTAATAAATGCCGACACGGCCCGATAACTTAAAATCGATTTTCGCTGCAAAATATGTAGTAATCAGTTTTAATTCATGAACAGTTTGTTTGACGTTGAGTGAGAGATAAAAATAAAGCTTATAAATGCGACCATGCGAAGGTAACATAAATAAGTGTTTAGCAATAAATGAAATAAATCACATCAGTCAAGTGTGACATTTCAGTTCTAAATTTTCGCTTTCCTTTTCCTATAAAAAATTCCATTTTTGGTGAGAACTCAAGCAACATTACTCTGTACGTGAATGCAAATTTTCTAGCAGTCGAAAAAATATCAAGGCTCCATTATTAATTTAAATTCTCATAGTTTCCTTACGTTAGCTGGGATAAAGCTTGAAAAAGCAGCTGATTTTATGAATATAAAACATCTATGGAGATTAGACTTGAACTGTCAGATGAATCAACTTTCAAAAAGCACCTGGGGTCTTAATTCCTAACTTACTAACAGCCCTGTGTGCTGGGATTTTGTTTTCAAAAGCTTAACATTAAAACAGTACAGAACTTATTTTAATATATGCTCACCTCAAACCGCTGAAGCGGTGTTCCATTTGTTACACAGGAGAATTGAAGTATGTTGGACGTATTTGGGGTCTATATAAGTATAAAGAACCAATTCTGGTCAGCCCATAAACATCAGGAGTATATTCAACCATGCGGGAAACCGCTTTGACGTCTACTTCCGAAATGTTTACAGAAACATTCAAGATCTTATGCTATATAAGAATCAATTTACTCCAAAGGATAAAGTACGATTATTTGGTGATGTGGGCATTTTATTTCATGCTAACTTAAAAAATAAAGTCGATATAGGCGGCAGTCATTTGTCAGTCCAGCGTTTCCAGCATTTAATTACTCCAAAAAATCATTTTTAATTGAAACTGAAAAATACTACATCCGTCAAATAAGTTAACTCGTCTGTTGCTGGCAGCAGAGTGAAATATACCTCAGTTAATTTCAATTTTCTTACATCATGATTCCTTTATTTGTTATAATCCACATAATCGGTAGTTGAATGACTCTCTCTCTCTCCCTCTCTCTCTCTCTCTCTCTCTCTATATATATATATATATATATATTCTTTTCCGAAGTAGATCAAAATACGTAGCACTAGTTTGAATGACTCAGATCTTGAATAATCTATAGTAAGGAGTATATTAAGAAAATACACCAATTCGACATTTCTATGCGTGATGAAAACGCATTTAATAACTTAACTGAGAACTG